GGCCGCCCCCGGCCACCCTCAGTGCGCGGCACCGCCCGCGCCCTCCCGCCGGCCCCCGGCGCTTCCGCTTCCGGCCCCCGCGATGTCGTCATCACAGTCCCTTAAAGGGCCCGCGCCCTGTCGCCCAGCGGGGCTGTGGCAAAGAAGAGCGCGGGGAAGCACCTGCGACACAAAGAGAGAAAAAGCTGCTTTCTTAAGGGCAGGTACGTTTATTTCATAAATACACCACCGCCTTCCACAGGAATGTTGTACGCCACTGAGTTTCAATACTGCAGCTCTGGAAAGGATACAGCCATAAAGATTTGTGTGCCACAAGCGAGAAAATCGTCACATTGAACAGAGCAATTTACCACAGGGAACACAGAATTCATGGAAATGTGTTGAGCGCGTCTAATTTTAATTCTTAGTATTTTCAGAACTTCTGCTAGTAATTATTTTCATTAATACACGTTACAGCAGTTAGCTATATATATACACACACTATATTTTTGGAGCATTTCTTGTGATCTTTGCAGTACTTAGCAGTCAGTCTCTAATCCTGTAAAGTGTAGGTGCTGTATACCAGGTATAGTTTAGACAGTAGTTTTTAATCACTGTTGAATATTTAATTACAAAGAACATATTTATCACATAACTCCCACTAGCAAAAAGTTTCCCCCCAAAATTGTTTTGCTAATGTAAGAATATACCAAAAACACCAATCACACAGATGTTTATAGCAACAGTTTAAAACAAGGTAATTCACATACCGAAGCACAAAGATTATAGTACCACTGCTGTTTAAAATGTACAAGTACTGTTTAATGACCCAAACAGAAGAAAGCGCAGTATAAAACTCACTATCGTCACTCCTCTATCCAGCTGCAGCTCATGGCTAACCATATACTATTTAAGGAAGTGTGGATTATTTTATAAATAATGTTTTGATAGTATTAGAGAAATTAAAAAAAAAGTACTGTCATTGTGTATTTTGCTACTATAAATAGAACTCTAGTATGTTGTGTTTCAGTCCCTGGTTGTGCAGAACCAGTAGTTTGTTCACAAGTAAGCCAATGCATGTAGGCATATATATTTTCAGTCCCCCCAAGAGATAACAACAGCGTAACACATTCTGTTTTGGATGAAAGTATGCAGCTGCATATACGAGTGATGTCCTAAAACACTGTGAATTGTAAGGAGAACTGCAGGGCATACATAAATGGAGTTATTTTAAATTGCCTCAACAACATATCATATTTTATGTAATCTCACGTGAGCTTTAGAAAATCATAAAAGCACAAAGAGTTGCATTTTTATAGCATAATATATAGAACTGTGACTTAGCCTTCACTAGCCTCAAAGCAGCACCACACAGAGGATAGTCCCTGTCTCTGGGCGACAGAGTCACTCATTTAGTTTTAACTGCAAAAGTGACAGAATGATACTGTCAGCTCAGAGAATTACTTACTGTTCTCCTGTTTTCTTTGAAAGTAAGATTTTAAACATACCGCAGTAAATCTGGTAGATAGATGTGGAGGATGCTGAGCAGACAGCCCAATCACATAAGATGACTTTCTCCTTCTCTGATGTGGTAACGTGGCTGCTAATTCCTTCACACTCAGGTCTTTCTATAGAACAAGAAAGCCCTTCTAACCTGCAGAAGAGGAGAGTGGGACAAGCCAACTCCAATATGTTGCCTGCAACTGGTAAAGACTGCTTTGTAACTCAAACCCCAAGGGGAATTTTTTTCCAGAGGTTGAGGGAAAATTTGTTGTATCAGTTGTTTCCAATTTGGAAATGGAAAAAAGTATCTTTTAAATAGTAATGAACAAATGGATGATATGGCAAAATTATTCTGAAGTAATGCTAGTGAGTATATGTCACAATAAGATTTAATAGCTGAAATGTACTGACACGGAAAATTAAAGTAAAATATTGAATATATTAATATGCAAAGGTTTGTTTGTATTTTGAAATTAAACTATTTTTGTTGTGCCTCAAATTCAAATATAAGCCTTACAAATATCCATAGCCTCTGTTATAAATTAAACAACTTCTAAACAATACTTGTCAACATTCAAATCTCCATAAACTTTGGCAGCTCTTTGGTAAATACTTATAAATATCAATTAACAAAACAATAAAAAGGGAGTGGGGAGGCTACCAGCAAGGAGCCTCCTTTTTTGAAATTCCACAAAGGGGAACAGAATTGAGACCACTCCCTAAGCAAAAACTATTTCCAAGATTGGTATACTTTAATGAGATTAGTAGCTCATCCTTCTCTGTCTATTCAAATGGTATTACACTGGGATTTTAATAAATTTCAGACAAATTTTTGTGCTCTACCATATATACATATTCAAAATTTATACACAAACAATAGTGGCTGTTTATGAGTAGAGTTAAGTTTCAGTGCATTTGACAATTAATTATTGCACACAGAATAATCTCAAATGCCCAATTATTCTACTAGATAAACGTAGCAACAAATATAACCTCTTATGTTTTTGAACATCTATCTTTCTGTAAAATCTTGTGTGGGTGACACCTTAGGTGCCAAAGAAGTGAAAGGATCTATGGGGGATCTGTTGCTGGTTATTCTTGATGGTATCGGAGGTGCAGGTGGTCTTCTTGCTGGCATTGTATAGAAGCAATCAGTAGAACTTTTATTCCAGTCATTATCAAAGTTAAAGTCTGAACCTAGAAAAGTCTTTTGTTCAGTGCCCAGAAAATCTGGAGATCCAGCTGACTTCCTGGAAGCGATTTGCTTAAAATCTGGAACACTTTTAGATGGCTTTAGCTTTACATTGAAATTCTCCTCCTCATCATCATCAAACGTTACCCATCCTTTTGGCTGTACATTTTTTACCGTGAAAGATTTACTTCTCAAGCAAGAAGTGTTTTCAGGTGCATCAACAGAAAATACAGGCTTGCTTGTATTACAGCTGGGGGGATTTAGAGAAGGAAAAGGATTGCAAGCAGCACGTCCTTCTGGTAAATGTGAAGTTATTTCAGACTCTTGCATTTCTGTTCTAAATGGGTTTCCAGCATTAGGAGTTCTTTCAGTGAATGGATTTGTGCAGTTCAGTCCAGTAAT